AAATTAGTATTCATTAAAGTATTAACTCTCTGAGGTGTTACACGGCGCAGTTCGGCTTGGTGGTGTCACCAGTGGTACTCAGCGAAGCTTCAACATGTCACCTTGCGGAAACATGTGAACTCGTGCAACTTTACAGGAGTTCACATGTTTCCGCAAGGTGACCTGTTTGTGAACCTCTTCTGTATCACTTTGTAGCTTCACAAGAGTTCACTGTTCTCTCCAAAGTTTGACCTGTTCATTAACATGAACTAGCAAAGCGAGCTGGCGGAAGCGCAAAATGCCCTCCCCCACCTCCCCTTAAGCCGAACAGTCCCGTCTTGCAAGTTGACATCTTTGTGACAAATGCGCTTCCGTGAATTTCAGCCCGGAACCTGATTTGGCACTGTAAGGACCACATTTCACACGGGGCCCCTCTCTTACAAAGTGGGTCACGATGTCAACAACGTACAAAAGACTCCAGTCCGACTTCGCGAAGCCCGGGCACAGTTCGGCTGGGTGGGGGTACCAAATAGTACTTCGCAGAGCTACTTCAGGTCAGCTTGTGAATTTCCCTCCCAAGCCGAACACCGCCCGAACTCCGTAAAGTCTGAGAGAAAACTAATTCAGGAAGAATCAGAAAAGTCAACAAATCAAAAAGTAAGAATAAAACTGTCAAAAACTAACCTGAGATCTAGCCCTGCTCATTTGGTGAATATATACCGAAGTAGCTATATCATCTACAGCAACGGAAGCCAAATAATCTCCTTTAGCATGCCAAACAACTTTCCGTACCTTCCTAAAGAAACCTCTAATTCTTCACAAATGCTTGGAGGAACGTAAATATTAAATAAACAGATTCTGAAAAGTAAGAAAAACGGCAAAGAAGTGTTACACGAGAAGAGAAAAAGACTCCAAGGTGGTCGAGGGGCAATATAGTGACACAACTAAACGGCGCTTTTCTACTCGTCTTACGTACGTAATCGCGATCCCAGTATTCGCCATCTGATCTGTTTCCGCCCTTCGAATACCATAGACCAGTACAATAGCTGCGGCCTAGCCCCACCACGCGCTTTTTTTCAACTATCTCAGTGCAGAAGAAAAAGAAACAATCAATCAATACTCCATGGAAAAACAAGAAATTCTGAAGAAAATTCGAGCAAATAGGTTCTCTAACATACATTTGGCATTTCCAGCACGATTCTGTCCTTAATACGCCGCCAATTCACCTTACCATCGGACTCCTCGATTGGAACCTAGAATACACAAACAATAAAGCTTACAAAAGCTAAGAGCGCGTTCATACTCCGCAATCCAATCGCACGATCTAGTCGCTCATGCCATCCGATCGCGCAGTATGAACGCAGCCATACATATAGAAATTCTTTTGAGCAGCTTTTCGTTGAGTTGGAGATACTTCTCTTAATTTCACGAGAATAAACGAACCTCTCGAATAAACTCTTCAGTCTGGGAGCATACAAGGTTATCACCGCAGTTAGTATTGAATATAGAAATCTAAATGACGCAAGCATTAGGGATCAATCCACCTAACTCGTAAAGAAAAAGCTTGAAAATGCCGAAAAACTTACCTGACGCCCTTCGTAAGCCACTGCCACCAATGTTTTGCTTCCCACAGGACAAAACGCTACAGACGTCACAGGACCACCCACTTTATACGTCTGAATCGAGACTTTTTGGGCAGGTTCGTAGTTTTCCAACAACGCAGTTCACAAGACCTTAATACAGCGACCAGAATCCATCATCCACAGACGAACAGTTCCATCTTCTCCACCAGAGACCAACAGCTCACCGCGATCTGGTTCTACACTTATTGAGCGCACCTGACCAACATGTCCGCGCATATACTGCAATGAACAAAAAATAGAACTATATTCTAAGATTTTTCAAAATTCTATCATTCACTCTGCTTTCATTCACTTATTCAAACTTCAAAACTATAAACCACTGCAATGAAATCTAAAAAGACCTCTTAAACACGAGCAAAACTCACGAAAGCTAAGGTTGTTGGGAATGGCTTGAGATCATTTGGATTCGGCAAGTCGGGCAGAAGCTCCGATGGATCCACTTGTAGCTAAAGATAGAAAGATCCTCATGTAAATGGAAGGCAATGCAGAAGCTCACAGACGAATGAAAATCACTGCGAAACAGCTCAAAGACACCGTTTGGCATTATCGGGGTGGAAGAGGTCTCATGACGCGGTTAGCGCATCCCTTCCCTTTCCACCTTTTATGGCGGTGAATAAGACTGGAAGAGGAGCGGCACATCATGACATCGTCCGCTCTCCGCCTACCGAACAACCGAATTGGTCCTTCAAAGAGAAACGCTGCGAGGCCTACAAACGCTTAACATACCTTCATCTTTATCTTTCGTGGAGCCAGGTAGAGATCAAGACAACGTTCGAACCGCTCCGTCAAGAACTTGTTGTACTGAGGGACCTGTAGTGAACGAGATATAAACAAGAGAAGCCTAAGAGGATGGGGCCTAGAACGATGTAACACCTACCTTCCTCAATGCGTCATACTTCTGTGGAACAAACTGCAATCGCCGATCTTCGGGTTCCGCCTCCTCCCACCTGAATCGTCAATACGATAAACGATAGAAAATCTCATATTATACATCCACTAGTCTTCCTTTCACTCATTGTCATCAATTTAATAATCATTTCTTGAAAAAAATAAAGCTGCAGAATTTTTGACAATCGACGCGAAGCACGAACTACACCTAGCAAGCCTGCGCCGGCTCCACGGGCGAACTCATCGGCGAGCACATTCGTTATGTGCTCACTGTCGCCGCAGCGATAAGAAGGCACCGAAGAGGGAATAAGCGCCAGCGCTGTGTCACGGCAGTCCTAGGGCAATGAACTTTCTGGGACTTTCTGGGGATGAATGGTGAACAACAGTGGGACAGAAGGCAAGAAGTAACGAATGGTGACTGATTGTCAGGATTGGCACGTGAAAGGCAGCTGAAAAAGTATTTCCCATGAATAGGCGGAGCCTTTCTTGAGAGATATGCTGATTCCGTTGTGATTACGAATTGCATTCGCCAATGCGCGCTCCAGCGCTACCAACTGAAGGCAAACGTGGCTGAAAAAGAGCTGTTCTATCAAGGATGCGTGCTCAGTGTCGGTCCATCGGCCGCTTGCCACAGTTTCATTCCTTGAAATGCCGCTGCACTGCGCGTCTTTCATCGCCTCACCCCTCCTCTTGTCGCCAAGAATTGGATCTTGGCGCACATATGAGATATAAAAATTGGTTAGTTAGTCTACTTCCTCGCGTTTAGTAAGACAAGAGATTCGCTGAATCGCCGGAACTGCAAAATCGCTCAATCCACCAAAATGATACATATAGGCCGAAGAGCGGCTAGCATCTAATCCCACTCACGCCTTCTCGAACTTTTCCTATTCCACAGTTCTCCGATTCTCCAGCTCGGTGCTAGTCGTGAATACGGCCTTATTGGTGATGAAGCAAAAAATTCCGAAAACTCACTTCCGCTTTTCTTCTTCATCGAACAGATACTCCTCCGGTGGATTGTATGATTCAGCATGAACTGGAAGCGGCATCTAAATACACTCAAGTAAAAGCCAGAACTCAGGAGACGTCAAAAAAATCAGGTATAGCCTTTTGAAGCGTGCACTCGATAAGTAGCATCAGCATAAGGGAGAGATGTAAGTAGTTAACAGAACAACCTGAGCCTGGGAGAGCAACCAGCGATCCTCAGATAGGTACTTCTCAACTTCAACAGCCCAAAAAGTCAGTTACCTTAGGTGCTGGCATGTGCATCCTCATACGAGCTAATTCAGATTTTGTCTTGTGGTCCATTGAATCCTCAGCTGCCCACAGATCGTAAACCTGGCAATAAATGAAAGTTAGAATTCTAGTACAAGTAGGTCAATGCCAATCTAATCTCTAGCTTACCTTCTTTTGTGGTTTTTGCTTTGGACCCTTAGACCAACCCATTTTGATGGCGTGTACCATACGACTTACGATGCGCATTTCGTCTCTTGATGGAATAAACCGCGCTTTTGGCTCTGGTCTGAATATCTCAGGTCAACATAACTATTAATAAAGGAAAGGCATATTTTTTCAAAGGGAAAGAGCTGCTGAATGGTTCTCTTCGGCTTTATCAGAGCAAATAAAGTACTGAAAGCACTGCGGTATAACCATACCTATTATCGATTGGATGAATAGTCTTCTCTGATGAAAATATGTCCAAGAATGGTTCATATGGATTATATCCAACCACGGGGTATTTACCAGATGCGAGGTTATTCAATTTCTCGACCTAGAAAAATGAGTAATTTAGTGAAAATATCGAGTGGGAATTTCTATCCATTTTCAATGAATGTGCAATAAACCTTCGAAAGGACAGATAAAGGC